AGTGGACTGAGGACAGCTGGACACTCCCCTAGCCCTACAACCCTGTCCCCCACCCCACCCATCCCCAGCAGAAGAACCAGAGATCAGGCTGGTCAAGTGGGGCCTATCAGAGGGGGCTGGAGGCTATACATTCAGGGTACAAGGCTGGTCCAGACTATACATTCAGGGGACGAGGGACCCAAATGCAGAATTCTGATGTTTCCCCACCACGTGAGCAGCACTGAAAGGACACGCAGGTCACACAGCCTCAGACTTGGGCCTGATGGCCAGCCCTCACTGCCAGAAATGCCAGGAGCTGACTTTTTATAAATCTGGCTATCATCTTGCGCATAGTCCAATCACACCACATTGCAAATTTCTGGGCTAAAAGCATTAATTTGTTGAATTTATGTAAACATATATGTTATTCAACAGTTTTTGTAACTCTGACATGTTTTTATTTTCTAACATTCCTCAAAGAAAGTAGGGATTGTGTTTCTCTTGACCTCTGAGGCCTTGCTCTGTTCTATAGGTAAGGAAACTGAGGCCCAGTGATAAGGAGGAGTCCCATTATCAAAGTCACTTAATAAGGTGGTCAAGCCTCCTTAGAACCCACAGCTCTGAGGAACCACTCCTGGATGTTCTCCCCCCTCCAGCCAATCATCTTTGGCAGCAAAGGACCTCTTATTAAAACATGAATTAGATGCTGTCTCTCCCTGGCTTCAAACTCTCCAACAACTCTTCAAACTCCGCATTGTACTTGCAATCCAAACTCTTCACCACGGCCAGCCAGACCCCGCTGGTCCTGCCTCATCTTGGCCTTGGAGCTTCAGCCACAGTGGCCACCTTTCTGGCCTCACGCACACCATGCCCCTTCCCACCTCAGGGCCTTTGCACTTGCTGGGCCTTTTGCCTAGAATGCTCTTGCCCTGGGTCTTCTCATGGCTGCCTCCTTCTCCTCAGGCAGGTCCAACACAGTATCACCTCCTCAGAGAGCTTCCCTGGCTGCCTTTTCTGAGGGTCCCTCCTGCCCCCCATCACTTCCCCACTCTCCTGTCTCATTTTCTTTATAACTCGTTGCTACCTAAAGTTTACCTCGCTTATTTATATGTTAAATGTTCTTTCCAGTCTTCCTCCCTAGAGAACAGGTGCAATGAGAGCAAGACCTTGTCCGTCAGTCACGGCCATGCCCCAGGGCCCAGAGTCACTAAGCAGCTTGTCCAAGGTCCCATAGCTAAGAAATGGCAGAGCTGGGATTTCAACCCATGTTCAAAATTACTATACTACATTGCCTCCCATTCTCATAAATAATTAATTGATAAATCAGTCCTTTCAGCTTGATACAGTCCCACATGGTGAAAGGCCTGAGGGAAACCTCCTGTCCAGGTACCTGGAAGGATTGCCCCCTAATGCTCACTATGATACCTTGTGAACCTTCTCCTTCCCTCCCTAGGGGCAGGCCTCCAGGGTGTTGGGGTTAAGGGGCCCTGCCCTGCCCAAGAGCTTGGCAGGCAGGGGCGAGTGAAAGTAAAGTTCAGGGTGAAGTTCCTGGGGCCAGATAGTGCTAGCAGGGCAGGGCAAGACAGCAGAGCATGGGGGAAGTACAATCAGGAAGCCCGGAAGGCTCTGCCTGCAAAGTGGGGCGGGGGCAGGGGGGAGGGGTGGGACTCCTGCCAGAGGCACAGGAACCAGGGAAGAAAATAGGCTTCCAAGTCTTGGAAGAGGAAATGTCCCCACCCTCTAGAGGGCCTCAACAGGGCTCCTGATCCTGGGAGGTTAGAGGAATAATTCCAAGGGCCAAGAGTGCCAGGCAGGAGTGGGGAGTAAGATGAGGAAAACGGGAAGCATCTGTCTCACTGCCTCCTTCACAGCATGGGCCTGAGGCTCAGGGGCAGCCTGAATGAGCTCACGCCATGCTTCTCACCCCATGTCCCGGGACTGGTTGCCAGGGAGCAGAGGAAGTGAGCCCTCAGCGCTCGGGTGGACAGTGGTTACTGTGGAGGTCTCTGTACCCCCGTCAGTCACCCCTGGCTGCACCAGCCACATCCATGTGCCCAGCGTCCCCTAAAATGCTAATGAGTGTCTTCTGTGCGCTGGGTGAGGCTGGGGCTGGGAAGCCTCTGGAGGCCCTGGCAGGGAGTTCTCCCTGAGCGTACTGGCTATCATCACTGCAGACGGGAGTTTTTCAGTGCAGGAGCTTGGGCCTCACCTACTGACTCCAGCCCTCCAGGGTAGAACTAAGGCAGCCGTGTTTTTTTTTAAAGGCCCCCGAAGGGATCTGGCAGGGCCTGAGACAGGCAAAAATTTCACTTCCCATTCCATGTCTTTATGACTTCTTTTTTTTTTTTTTTAAAGATTTTATTTATTTATTTGAGACAGAGAGAATGAGAGAGACAGAGAGCACATGAGAGGGGGGAGGGTCAGAGGGAGAAGCAGGCTCTCTGCCGAGCAGGGAGCCCGATGCGGGACTCGATCCAGGGACTCGATCCAGGGACTCCAGGATCATGACCTGAGCCGAAGGCAGTCGCTTAACCAACTGAGCCACCCAGGCGCCCCTTTATGACTTCTTGAAATTGTTGACACTTTGAGCATTTTATCTTAGAAGAGTAGCTTTAAAATACATAGGAAAAAATATCTCTTGGGTTGGGGAGCCACTCAACAGAAGAAGAGGCGGACTCTGGTGGGGAAGGGGGAGCTGCAGCTCTGGGTGGGGGGGAGGATGGACACCCCGGGTGGGCAGGCCCCTGCCGGGAGCTGCCAAAGTCCCCAGGGAGTGCCAGCAGGAGCAGCTTAGAGTATGTTGCCAAATAGTCAACATCAAACTTCTCCTCTCCCCAGGCACCATGGGTGGAAAACAAAGGAACCTGCTAGAAGCAGCTCCGCTCTTCCTCTCCCGCTGGGGAGAGAAGAGTCGGCAGTTGGCAGACTTGTTTGAGAAGGCTCGCCTGAGAACCTCCACACTCCCACCCTCCACACTCACCTAGGCCCCGGGCCACCTTACTGTAAGGATGGCAAAGCCTCAACAAATTGCCAAAGACAGGGGACTTGCTGATTTCGTCGTGGCACGGCCCAGAGTCCACACTGCCCAAGGAATGCTTAGTCACCTTCCAGAAAGGAGGCAGTGCCCCTTCCATTGTCCCTCATACACATCTGTCTCTTCCTGTCAGAGTGTGTATGTGTGTGTGTGAGAGAGAGAGAGGGAGGGAGGGGGAGAGAGAGAGAGAGAGAGAGAGAGAGAGAACCAGGCGGCGGGGAGAGGTGTCGCTCTGAGTGAACTGACCCAAGCGCTCCAGCATCCAGGGAGGACCCTGACTCCTGACCCTCCCTCATTTTGAAGCAACCTCAACCTGTCACCCCCAGTCGTGGCCCTAATCTTGCCCCCTCCGTATCTCAGGGATTGGGACATCTCCTTTGATCAAAGCACAGAGAGGGCGCCAGACTGCCACTCGTCCCACAGGAAGCAAGGCAGACCCCAGCCTCTGGACATGGGGCCGCCCTAGCCGCCCTGGCTCCGCCCCCCCCCCCCCCCCGGCTCTGGCCCCAGACTTCCCACGGGTGTCATCCTTCCACACCGGCTTCCATGCTGAATGTGTGCCGTCTCGGCCCCCGGCCCTCAGAGAACCACCCTCCACATGCCCAGCCTCTTCTCCCCGCAGGACACTGGCTGCCTACGGGGGAGTTCAGTAACTAGGAGAAGGAGCTGGGCTCCCAGCAGCACTGAGCCAGAGAGATGAAAGGCAGCACCACGCGGTCCAACACGGGGCCTGCTGGGAGGCCTTCGGGGGACCATGTGAACATCCTGTACCAGCCTCCGTGAACCCCGCACCTGCTGGGCCCCGGCCCCAACACAGCTGCCGCTATGCCAAGTAAACACCTGACCACCTGACCACCCCATGACATCTCCCATGCTGCACTTGTACCCGCCTCACCCGGCGGTCCCCAAGGCAGCTTAGACAGCATTCAGAGCGGGCATTGGATTTTTGAAGATAACCTTCCCCAACACATTGACCCCGATTACTACCACTACCGTTCTAGCCACAGGCTAAGGGCACGAAGCACGGCTTCTGGGCAGGCTTTCCAAGTTCCAATACCCACACAGATCACCAGGACATCTTGGTAAAATGCAGATCCCCCTTTTTTTTTTTTTTTAAAATGCAGATCCTGATTCCTTAAGTCTGGAAACAAGAATGTGCATTTCTAGCAATCTCCTGGTGATGCTGACGCTGCTGGTCTAGGACCACTTCCAAACCGGAATTACCTGGGGATTTTTTTTTCCAAACCCAGGTCACACCCCCACATGGATGAAGTCACAACCTCTGGAGGCAGGGCCCAGGCATCAGGAGTTTTTGAGGCTCTGCAGGGGTTCCAGGGTGAGGACAGGTTTGGGAGCTACTGTTCTAGGGAATATTTAGGGTTGAGAGAGCAGACCGGTGTGGCTGAAGTGGAATGCACCTGGAGTTTACTGGACACTGGTGGAGCGCTGGGATGTGTTGGGTGCTGTCCCAGGTACTGGGTATAGCAGGGAATGAAAGCCATCCCTGACCTCTTGGAGCTTATGGTCAAGATGCATGCTTAATAAGGGACCAAGCCAGCAAATGGGATAAGTGCAGACTGGGGGAAAGCCACAAAGAAGGTAAACAGTAATAACAGATATAAAATGGGGGAGACGCCCTCAGATGTAGGGGTTGGGGAAGTCTCTCAAAGGATGTGACATTGATCTGAGGCCTGAAGGTTGAAAAAGGGCCAGCCTTGTAAGGAGCCAGGTAAGGGAATGGTGGTTGCACAGGTCTGGAGATGAGAAAGGAAGCAAGTAACAGAAGGGCAGGGAAAGGAAGTCCCACCTGGTACCTTAGCCTTCACCTGGGTGGGAGGCAGAGAGCCTGGCCTGTCTGAGGGGCTGTGGCCTCCAGTCTAGATCCCCTAAGGAAGGAAAATGGAGGGATCTGTTCTCATAATGCCCACAGGAAGAAGAATCTCCCCCCCTGCAGCATCACCCAGGGGGACAGACCCAGGTCCGGCTTCTAACCCAAGGCGTTGAGGGAAGAAGAGCCCCAGAGGGCGGGTAAGGCACGGATCTGCCACCTACCTCTGGCCGAGAGCTTCTTGGTGTTGATGATCTTCGCAGCATACTCCTGGCCAGCCAGCACCTTCACACACCTGCGCACCACTGAGAAGGCTCCCCTGGGAGGACAGAGAAGGTGAAGGAGGGAAGCAGGGGCCCAAGGGATGCATCGCTAGGACATGCCAAAGTTCATGCATCTGTACCGTGTTGGCTAGGGAGCCCTCCTCCAGGGCTGCTCAAGCTCACAGGGGCTACATGGCCTGACTCAGGGACAGGGCAGGGATGGCGACCCAGGAGAACCCCTGCCCCCAGATTATGAGGGCCTTGGCCTCGTAAGAGATGAGCCTTCCAGAGTTGTAATAAGTTGGGCTCACCAAGTTATAAAACGTTAGAATCATATAGTGTCAGAATCACAGAATCTAGGTCTCTGCAAGATTGTAGTTTTCATTCTTTGAGTAGGTAACACATCAACACGGCTCAAAGTTCAACTGATATGGAAGTGTAGATAGTAAGAAGACTACCTCCCACCCTTGTACCCCAGTCTCCAAGGTCCTGTCCCCAGGGACAGTCAATGTTACCAGGTCCTTGGGCATCTTTTCACAAATACTCTCTGCCATACAAGGGTTTTGGACCTCGCATGCTGTTCTGCACCCTTCCTTTTTCAGTAAATATTTTGGAAATACTCCTTCCATATCATAACATAAAGAGATCCTCATTATTTAATCATATGGCTGTCCTATAATTTACCTAGCCAGTCCCCTATCAATAGGCAATTAGGTTAGTTCAATCCATAGTTCCATGCATTTTACAAACAGCACTGCAATGACTAATCTTCTATGTGTGCATTAGAATTAACGTTTCCCATGTGTGCAAGTGTCTGTGGATCAACTTCAAGAACTGGTATTATTTGGTCAAAGGGTAGGTGTTATTGGTAATTGTGAAGGATGATGCGAGATTATCCATCTTAGAGATCGTACCAACTTACTTTCCCTAGTATGTGAGGGGACCATTTTCCTCCACCCTTGTCCACAGTGTGTTATCAAACTTTCTTATCTTTGCTAGTGAGACAGGTGGGAAATGGCGACTCAATGTAGGTTTGATTTGTAATTCTCATATTGAGTGAGGCTGAGCATTTTTTCATGTTTTATTTTATTTTTTTAAAGGTTCTACTTATTTATTTGAGAGAGAGAAAGCGAGAGAGGTCACAGAGAAAGAGGGAGAAGCAGACTTGCCGCTGACTGAGCGGAGAGCCCCACGCGGGACTCGATCCCAGGACCCTGAGATCATGACCTGAGCAGAAGGCAGCTGCTTAACCGACTGAGCCACCCAGGCGCCCCACTTTTCATGTTCTAAGAGGCGCCTGGGACTTGATCCTCAAAGTATCAGTGGTTGGGAAACGTTTGGAGGGAGGGTTGTACCAGTACTTTGCATGGGGACACTGATGAGTGGCAGGTGGAATGTGGCCCGCTTCCCAAATTGTTCAATTTTTCAATTAAAGCCTGAAGTCTGGATATTTATGTGAAGTTTCCCAATTTTTAAATACTGGCACCTTATTCTAAAAAAAACAAAAACATGTAAACATAGTATCTGGCCCAACAAACCTAGTGTGAGGGCTCAATCTCGCATCTGGGAATGCTATCATACCCCCTACCACAGAAGTCATCTGGTGCAACGCCTTCATATCCCAGAGGAGGCCCCTAAGCCTCCGGACACGGGCCGGAGTCACCACCATTAGCACTCGAACCGCAGACTAATGTTAGGGGGCAGGTTTCCCCAATTCTAATGTGCGTATGAGTCACCAGTGTGTCTTATTAAAATGCAGATTCTGACTCCTTACGTCAGCAGTGGAACTGAAGACTCTGAGCTCCAGTGTAGACGGTGTAGACGGCTCACGCAGTTAGCTGTAGGCAGGGCCAGGCCTAGAACTCAGATATTCGTACCCCCCCACCACCACCAAGGGAGCCTGCCACACCCAGGTTCCTTGACAAGACCACACCTCATCACATCCTCCAAACTTCCATGCCCTAGCCTCAGCATAAGGGCGGGTCCAAGCCCAGGAAGCCTGCAGGCTGGGACCTCTCCGTACGCCCTCTCTGTACACACCCTGGGCATGGTGTCTCTGGTTTCTGAGCCGCATGAATGGAGCAAGTGGAAAACTGGAGAGGGATGAGGAAGAAAGAGCCAGGAGGGGGCATGAGCCGAGGAAATGTGACCTTGTAGGAAAGCACTAGAAAGCGCTAGACTATCCACTTGCACTGGAATTCCTGGGCAAGTGGATCGTCTCATGCAGCAATAGACCTTCCCTGGGGTGTGCACCTTTGCTGTCCTTCCCCCACCCCTCCCACCCCAGGAAAGCAGCAAGACCAGAGTCTCCTTCCCAGAGAAGCCTCCCTGTTAAGGACTCCCTCACCTGTGCTCCCAGAGTAACTCCGCCCCTCCCCGTCTAGCCCAGGCTCACCGTGGCTCTTGCTCGGTTGCTTGTCCTATTTGTGCCTCCCACCTGACGGTAAGTTCCTGAGGGCCAGGACTTTAACTTTCCTTTCCACATCCCTGTGCCCCAGTATCCAATGTCTGCTACCAGTAGGGCCTCCATAAATGTTACTTGCAGAAACAAGAAGTGGATTGAATTCACAGTGAGGGAGATTGAATGAGACGGGGGAGTGGATTTTCCGTCAGGGTGTTAGGAATAGGAACAGGCATCCGAAGAAGGTAGGGCACGACTGGTCTCTCAAAGGTGCCCACCCTACCCAGACAGGGGGATGGACCCAAAGACCTTCAGGTCCCTGCCCAGCTGGAGGCCACGATTCCCAAAGGCCCCGGGGGAGAGTGTTTAAAGTGGCCCCTTCTGGGAAAGTTGGAGAGCTCCATCGAGAGCAGGGGCATGGAAGGAGAGGGGCTATAAGGTCCTGAGTGCAGGGGCTGGGTCCTGCCTCACTCACCAGCATTTAGCCTGTGTTTGGTCCAGAGCTAGAGTTCAGTTAATGTGGGATGGAGGGATGGAGGGATGGAGGGGGAGGGGGAGGGAGGCAGGGAAGAAGGGATGGATATAATTTCTCCACTAAAGGAACATATTCTAAGTAAAAAACTAAGTAAAAAATTCCATTCCAAGAAAGATCTTAGACCGATGGTTATCAAACGGGCTGCTTTGGAATCCCCTGGGGATATTTTAAAAATACATATACCCAAACCAGACTTTTTAAAAGTCTGGTTATCCAGATTTAACCAAACTAGAACCTCTGGGCGGGGGCACAAGGGATCTGTATTTTCATTTAACAGCAGTCCAGGGGATTGTGTCCTGCCCGCCCTCTGGGGGAGTCCTGCTAGATGCCCTGACGTCAGCCCTGACGGGGCAGTCACATGCAACTCTCTGCAGGGCAGCTTGGCAGCCCCGTGAACCTGGGCTCTGCCCTAGGAGCTGAGGACCTAAGAGCCACATCTATAAAACAAGAGAAGGTACATTTGCTAAATTTCCTTCTCAGAACACAGTGCCAAGCTTTTGTGTAAATCCCAGCTTCTAACTAGGGGTCCTTTTTTTTTTTTTTCAAAAAAGATTTTATTTATTTACTTGAGAGAGAGCACAGAAGGAAAGGGAGAAGCAGACTCCCCGCTGAGTGGGGAGCCCGATTTGGGTTCGATCCCAGGACCCCGAGATCATGACCCAAGCAGAAGGCAGCCGCTTAACCGACTGAGCCACCCAGGTGCCCCTAACTGGGGGTCCTAACTAGGTTCTAACATGGGGAGGGCAGCCGCAGGGGCCATGTACCCACTGAAGGACATCCTGTGCCTCTGAGAGTAGGTATGTGCATTTTTTTCTGGGGCAAGGTTGCATAGCTTTTAGCAGCTGCTCAGAGGGAGGAGTTTATCAAAACCAGTTCAGAGCTACTGATCCAGAGGGTACCAGCCTCTCGTGCACCCGGAAGGTATCCTCCTTTTAAATGCATGTGCACTGCTAAGCTCCTTCTTGACCACAGCAGCACTGTGGAGTTGGAATTATGATCTCCATTTAACAGGTGGAGAAACTGAGGCCTCGAGTGACTAAGCATATTCCTAGTGGGTCTGTGAAGAGGATTCAGGTCACCTGCACTTGCTCTTCTGACTCCACCAAAGGCAGGAAAGTGTGACCCTCAAGAGCGGGGGCTCTGGGCTCACAAAGCTCTGTGGTCTGATCATGACTTATCCTCAACTGTGGTATTGAATTTGGCACTTCACCCCTACCTATGCAGCCTCGGGTTTCCATCCACCCTGCTCGCCACAGGGCTGAGGGTCAGGGGGACGAGGGGCAGAGGAGAATCTGCAGCAGAAAGGAGACTCCTCTCTTTTGTATCTTTTGCTTTAAAAAGGCCTATTTCTGCATTCCCGTCCTGCATGAGCGAGTGGCTGCAACCCAGCAGCCTTGGCAAACAACAAAAGAGCCAGCCCAGTCCTCCCATGGCCCTGAGCCGAGAAGGTGGGCAGCAGGTGGAGGGGCAGGAGCTTGGAAACAGCACGGGGCAGAGAGGGGAGGAGGCTAACGCGGGCAGCTCAGGGTGGAAGGGAGTGACTGGGTGTCCTGAGAGGAAGGGGTGAGGCCTGCATGTGAGAACCCAGTGTGAGTGTCCATGGACGGGTCCTGAGAGGGTCTGCGAAGGTGTTCCTGGATGTTAAGGGGTCATGGGGGCATGTGTGCCCACAGCTGTGTGCAGGCAGCCCAGTCAGTGCCCTGTGCATGAGCTTCCATGAGGCTCGGGGTGTGACAAGGCCCACGTACATCACCCTGGGTATGAAATATGTCTCCACGTCAGCAAGCACGGAATGTGGGCAGGGAAGCATGTGTGTGAGACAGACAGACACTGGAGGGACAGAATCTCAGCTCTCAGCCCTGCTGGGAGGTCTTGGGCAGGGGTCTGCCCCAACACGGGCTTCACTTTCTTTCATCTGCAACATGGGGGTTTGGATGGGAATGAGGCTGAATAGTACAGAGCCCTTTCCAGCTGTAATATTTTATACCAGAATATCCTGTGATGGTGGAAATATTCTGTGTTGTCCAGTGTGGCAGCCACTAGCCTCACATGGTTATGGAGCACTTGAAATACGGCTAGTAGGACTGAAGAACTCAACTTTTAATTTTATTTCATTTGAG